TATTGTGGCCAGCCTAAGGCACACCTGTGCAATAATCATGCTGTCTAATCAGCATCTTGATATGCCACACCTGTGAGGTGGATGGATTATCTCGGCAAAGGAGAAGTGCTCACTAACACAGATTTAGACAGATTTGTGAACAATATTTGAGAGAAATAGGCCTTTTGTGTACATAGAAAAAGTTAGATCTTTCAGCTCATGAAAAATGGGGGCAAAAACAAAAGTGTTGCTTTTATAATTTTGTTCAGTGTATATATAAATAATAATAATATATTAATATAATAATAAAATAATAATAATAAATAGGCCTATACGAGAAATATATTTTTACTTAAATAATAAATTAAGAAAACGAAAAACAAAACAAAACTTTGCAACAAGTAGCCTAGTATGCAGAGTTTCGGTTCATTTTTGTGCCGAGTAAAAAAAAAACAGACGGCAGAAAGCGGCATCCTACTTTTCTTTAGGCTTATTTTACAAAAGCACAAAAATTTGTTTTTCTTGTGAATGTACACAAATAAAAGCAAACCTTTTACAATTCTGATTATCTTTATGACTAAAAGGAGTAGTTTCTTCCACTGTTAGAAGGAAAAAATTCAAGTGATTGCGCCGGTGCCACCGCACGAATGCGCGCACACAGTTAAGCTTTGCTACCTTGACAATGCAGCCTGTTCATTATCATAATAATATACAGTCAGTCAAACGTATGGAAAAAAACACACTGCTCAGTTCAAATATGTAGTAAAGTCTGTGCCGTAAACCGTAAAATACTGTTAATTGAAAGGATTTGTTGTGGAGTGAGGGGAACTAAAATAGCCTAGCTATGTTTACAGTGTTTATTATAATGTTTGTAAACATTTCGTGTCGACATTAGGCCTATTTCTGAATGAAATAATAAAATGTGATTTTTTTTGTATATGCGTAGCGTATTTTAACCATGCAACAAACCTTTTTAAATAGTTTGATAAATTACTGAAAAACATTAATAAATGACTTTTTAAACCATTTAACTGATTGTATTAATCGGTCAAAAATTATTACGGTCGGTTAATGGTTAACCGGTTAAAATGAACATCCCTAACCTAAATGCATCTATGTTCGCACGAACCATTCGTGATCCAGCTTAATCTCCAGTGAGTATATGTTGTTTTAATGAATTTTGCAAATCGCCTTTCCTAATAATGTGCTAGTTAGCAAGTTTCACGATGAATGCGGCAAAAGTTTACAGTCTCTCAGAGAACTGGTCATCCCACAGAAGAGAGGGGCGGGGTGAGCAGAGCTCATTAGCATTTAAAGGGAAATGCACCATAACGGCTTGCTGTGAACAGAGCTGTTTTTGACAGGGTAAAAAGGAGAAAGTTTAACCAAAGTATGTTATAGACTTTTAATTAAGACCCTAAAGAATCATATCAAATTGTGGAAAATGGGCATCCGATGACCCCTTTAACTTTAGATTTCGAGTTTTCAATATATGTAATGAACCAATGCCACCATACAATTGAAATTTGAGGGCACCTACTACAACCACTCATATGTACATATGACATGGAAATAAAAATCCTCTCCAAGTCTCTTCTAGTATACAGAGGTGAATAATGCAAATGATCATGAAGGCGGACAATCAGATTTGGCCCACAATCAGCTGCAGTGTTATCGTAACCTTAATTTCACACAGATAAGTATTTTCTGGTGCCATTTTAAATTGCTGAGCCATTTAAAACTCTTCCCACACACAGAACACAAATAGGGTCTCACATCTGCATGACATTTTAGGTGTATCTTTAAGTGTGATGGCAAAATAATTTTTTTATTACACTGATCACAATTAAATCGCCTTCGTCCAGAGTGAATGTGCAAGTGATTTTTGAAATTGCTCTTTTTAAACATTTTACCACATTCAGAATACTGCACTTTCTTTCCATAATGAGATTGCAAATGATGTTTCAGGTCTTTTTGATATGTAAAACTCTTTTTACACTGAAGACAAGAGAATGGGTTCTCTTCAATGTGAGTTATTACATGTTTCTTAAAGTGTTTCCTGTCTGTGAAACTTCTCCCACACTGATGACATATAAAACAGTTCTCTCTTGAGTGAATCCTTATGTGGTAATTGAGGTTTACTTTACCTCTGAATCTTTTTCCACACTGGCCACAAATGAACGGCCTCTCTCCAGTGTGAATTCTCATGTGAGTCTGTAGATTTCCTTTTTGTGAGAAGGTCTTCCCACACTGTTTGCAGGTGTAAGGACTCTCTCCAGTGTGAATTTTCATGTGGGCGTTTAGGGTTGCTTTACGAGTAAAACACTTTCCACATTGAGGGCATGTGTAAGGCTTCTCTCCAGTGTGAATTGTCATGTGGCTTTTAAGGCTTCCTCTTCTAATGAAACTTTTTCCACACTCTATGCAAGCATAAGGGCTCTCTCCAGTGTGAATTCGCATGTGAATTTTAAGGCTTCCTTTTTGAGTGAAACTTTTTCCACATTGTGGGCAGGTGAAAGGACTCTCTCCAGTGTGAATTCGCTGGTGGATTTTAAGGCTTCCTTTTTGAGTGAAACTTTTTCCACACTGTGGGCAGGTGAAAGGACTCTCTCCAGTGTGAATTCGCTGGTGGATTTTGAGGCTTCCTTTTCGACTGAAACTTTTTCCACACTGTTGGCAAATGAAAGAACTTCTCGATCCTGTATTTTTATTTCTTTTAAGTAAGGTCTTTTCAGTCAGTGAGCAACTAGAAGATTTTTCTCCAGTAATAAAATCCTGTTTCTCATACTGATCTTCTTCCATTTTATTTTCCTCTTTAAGCAGCATCACGGCTAAGGTGAAAAGGATAAATAAAAGTTAACCGAAGTTTAATGACACAAAGCAACAGAAATTATAAAATATAGCTCCAAAGAGCAATTAAGGGGCCAAGCACAACAGAGGTAAAGTGAAGAGCTAAGGAGCTGTCTTTAATTACTCCGTAAAGACCAGGGTTCTCCAACCCTGCTCCTGGAGAGCTACCTTCCTGCAGATTTAAGTTCCAACCCTGCTTCAACACACCTGTTAGTAATTAAGCAGCCCTGAATATCTTGATTAGCTGGTCCAGGTGTGTTGGATTAGGTTTGAAGCTGAACTCTACGGTATGGTAGCTCTCCATGAGCAGGGTCGGAGACCGCTGTTAAAAGACATTTGTTGATACCGAATTTTACAACAAATTCAAAATAGCCGACGCCCAAAAAGGCTAACATGGGAAAATTAGGTATCCTTCAATTCAGTATGCCGTTCCAAATCTACAAGACAAATCTTATGATATTTGGCCAAACTGGTCATAATTTATGAGCAGAAATGTCCATTTTTTTATATATATTTTGACCAGTAGGTGGTGCTGTGCCCTCATGCTTTCATGCTTTTTATAACACATACCAAGTTTGGTCAGAATCCGCTAAAGCAGGGCTGGGCAACTTCAGTCCTGGAGGGCCAGTATCCTGCAGAGTTCAGCTCCAACCCTAATCAAGACACCTGCCTGTAGCTTTCTAGTGATCTTGAAGACACTGATTAGCTTGTTCAGGTGTGTTTGATTAGGCTTGTAGCTAAACTCTGCAGGACAGTGATCCTTCAGGACCAAAGTTGCCCAGCTCTGTGTTAAAAATCATTATGGAGATGTAGCCTTATGTCCATTTTTGCACAAACTTAATCAAATTCATTACCACGCTTTATGAAACCCGGTTTGGTATATCAAAAGGCTTTTGATAACTTTTTGTCAGCATTGTCTGAAGAATAACTGAGCCAATTTTGGTGAAAATCGGACAAACTGTCTAGGGCAAGTTCAAAAAAGTAGATTTTGAGCATAATTCATAATTGAGAACAATCCTGATCCATAGAATTTTACAATTTTGACATGCATTCAACACGGCATGAGCCAAGGAATCAAGAGGGAAAAAAAGAATTTTGCTTCTAGACCTTACAGTTCAAAAGTTAATAGCAGAAATATGAGTGCAAATTTGGCCTATTGGTGGCACTAGAGGATTTGAGATAAAGACTCCAAATTTCATATGGCTAATATTAAGACTGTCCTCTATCTGTGTGCTAAATTTTATACCTTTCCCACAAGTGGTGCTATGGGCTGCCATAGACTTCCAGAGCAGAAGAAGAAGAAAACTAACGTATACAACAGGTGGCTAAAAAATACATTTAATGTATTAAAACCAACATGTTCACGAGATCCTTTACCCACTAAGCTACCGAAAAAGATGTTAACTGTGATCTCAGTACCTTTAGTCAATTATTCGCTTTCTTTAGGACATGTCCAAAAAACTTTAAAGCTGACTGGAAAAACAAAAAAAAACACAGCCTGAGGAAAACTGGTTAATCACTCAACAATTAATTATAATATATTAGAAAAAACGTGCCCTCAGTTTTCAGGTGTTTTTTTATTTTTTCAGTTTTGTGTTTAGTTTGCAGAAGAACGTTAAGGTTAAGGAATATCTGCCAGGACTTACACCATGTCTACACCATGTCTACACCAGACGTGAGTGGTGCGACAAAATATTATAGAAACCATTATAATCAGTGATGCTTTCGGTAACACTTTAGTATAGGGACCAATTCTCCCTATTAACTAGTTGCTTATTAGCATGCCTATTATTAACATATTGGCTGTTTATTAGTACTCATATAGCACATATTCTGCATGACCATTTTCTACATACCTAATCCTACCCAATACCTAAACTTAATAACCTTATAACCTATTAATAAGCAGCAAATTAGTAATGTATTGAGGCAAAAGTCATAGTTAAGGGTTTGTTAATAGTGAGAGTTGGACCTTAAAATAAAGTGACCATGTCAGTGCCAATAGCCTCGTGGTTAGTGCGCCGACATAAAGTGCAACTGCACTCACGGTGACCCAAGTTCGATTCCCGTCTCGAGGTCCTTTGCCGATCCCGCCCCCCCTCTCTACCCAATGCTTTCCTGTCAGCTCGAAAGAGTCAGAAAACGCCCATAAATATAACTTAAAAAAATAAATAAATAAATAAAGTGACCATGCTGACTAAACTGGATATGGCGCAACACGACACAACAAATCCCAGACAAGTAAACTGTTGCCCCTTTCTATTTATGACATATAGGGTTGGGTATCGTTTGAAGTTTATCGATTTCGATTCTGCTTATCGATTCCGATTCTTATAGATTCCAATACGAAAAAAAAAAATCCAATATAAAATATAGCTGCAAGCAGTGATTACCGGGGTTCAAGCGCTTTAGGTATTTAAGCACATAAGGAAAAAGACATTACATATTATTTAGCAAGCCTGTAACCACCTAAATCAATTATTAAAAAAGCATTTTTGGCAAATCCAGGGGCCTGTTTCAGAAAGGAGTTTAAGTGAAAACTCTGAGTATGTTAACCCTGAAATGAGGGAAACTCTGGGTTTTCTGTTTCAGAATGGGAGGTTTGTCAAACCCGAGAAAGCAGGGTAAGTCAAGCCCGTTTCAGAAAGGGAGGTAACTTATACTCAAGAGTCAGTTACCGTGGTAACTTACTCTATGAACCTAACCTGGTCGGGAGGCAGGTTTTCTTCTGTAAACCCAGAGTTTCTTACGGTCTCCTCCCCCTTTTTAAAGTGTAAGCGATGTTTAAATACCTCATTTTTAAGTGCATTTATGTGGTAAGAAAAATCATCCTAATGCAAACGTAAACAAGATTATTTTTTGTTTCCCCCACCTCCCCCCTTCAAACACCAGACACCGTCAAAGTGACAAAAATGGCATGTCCTTTCATACTGTAGATGGCAGATTAGTTCGTAGGGAGTTACATTTTTTTGTGCCATATCCACATACATATTTATTTGGTAGTTTTCTATATCGGGGATGCAGAGCACATTATGGCCGCTGTATGCAGAGCCGTAACGAAGGTGTGCCTCGCTGACGTTCACTTGATAACATCTTGCGGCGACCTCTGGAAGTAACCCAATAATTAGAATTTCCTTTAGACTTTCCAGTGTGGCTGGATGCATTGATGCATATTCCCATCATCGCACCTTCCGAAAATGAAACAGATATGGAATGGAAGGATGCCATATGGAAGTAGTCCGAGATATATGCTGTAACCACCAACACAGCTATTACATAAACACAAATTATGCACAATTTGATCATCTTTATTTCCTAAAAATACAAAAGCAAGTGTTATTTTTATTTTATTATTATTATTATTTTTTACTGTTGGATTTTAGTATTCTTCCAACACTTGGTATTATGGCCATCTCCTCTTCATCTGTTCTTCATTATTTTGCAAGCCTTCTTGCTGTTGACCGAGTAGTCAAATGTTAATTTCATTACTCTAATTAAGAAATGTAACAGGTTGGATTAGAGAATCTTTAACTATGTGAAAAGATTAGACTACGTGGGAAAAAAAGCTGCTGCACATTGAAATAGACACTGAATTAAATTTATTTCATATATCAAATGTTTGTAAAGTCATGTAGCCTACACCCATGAACATTTTATGCTTAAAGCTTTACCTGATTGAAATGTTTTTATACTTCATTTTTAGCTGCTGTCACGTTCTTCTTTTCTTTTCTTTTTTTGCCCATGGGATACCATGAAAATTTATATTAGTTCAATAACCTACCGTTCTGCCAGTTTTCACCTTTGTTATTATAACAGTGATTAAGAATTAAACTTATGCGTTGACTCAAAGTGTGCGGACATCTTTTTGTCTGTGCTGTTGCCATGGTGAATCATAATTTCGGAGTTCCATTGATCATGACTTCTCATAGTCGTGGTGCACGCGCTACACTCAGAGTCAACCTACTCAGAGTTGACTGAACTAACACAATTCAGCTGTTCTGAAACCGAAAACTCTGAGTTTCCCATCTCAGGTTAAATTGTGAAGTTTTGAGTTTTCGTTTAGACTTTATAGGCTTTTGGGTATATTTGGACAGGCCCCTTTTCTAAAGCACCCAGTTTTAGCAAAATTTCAACATGTTTTTGATAATTACTGACCTAGAGAGTCCAGAGAATTGCACTATGGTGGTTTTTTCCAGATTGAGCGAAAAACCTAGGACTAGTTTGCAAAAGTAGGTTTTTCACATCTTCTCAATCATTTAAAAAACGGTTTGATTGACAGCAGTAGCTCTAGAGGCAAAGTTGTTTGGAACGAGGAGGTCTATCATATGATATGAATATTGCGTATATGTGCGGAAAACCGCGCAATGTACAATCGTTTACGCCCTCAAAATATGCGATACCACCCCCCAGTGGCCGATTTCTTTCAAATTTATCACAGACCTTTGGGGCCGTGAGTCAACCAGGCCCACCGAGTTTCGTTCCGATCAGCCTCCGTTAACCTTGTCTAATAGGTGCTCAAACTTCATCAGCCAATGGTGGCCATGTTTTTTTGAGATACGCAAATATCCCCATAGACACTTGTGGCACTTTGGACCAAGCCGATTTGGACGATTTTCATGTTGATAGGACAAATGGTTGCCTAGTTATAGCCATTTTTATGATGCAAGAAGCAAGAAATGCAAGAAGATGGGAGTGAACTTCTTTTAACTTGAGTGCTGCATTTTTAGAATGGCGTTTCATGCATGAGACGCTGTAAGAGACACGAGCGCAACAGTCAAACACATCCATGTTTACACAGAAAAAACAATGGAAAAGCAGCGCAATCTAATAAAAAACCTGTAACTACTACTGTATGTCTGATATTTCATGTTTGCATCATGGTGACAGGCTGAAAGCTGCTGTTTTTACAGAACATTTATAGTTAATAATAGTATACTTGTGTTATATACCTTACATAATTTTGAATTTGAATTACCTTGACTTTTGAGATTTTTTTTAAAGCATTTTCACTATTTTTATTATTTCTGAACACATATGTATAAGACAAGTTTGTACAATAGCCTATGTAGTTGTAGTTCATGCATCTTTTCTGCAAATATATTTAACAAGTGCTTTGTTTAACATTTACATTATATACATTTACATCAATTTTCTTTAACTAGATGGTTAATAAAGAAAAAGTTACTTGAATCACATTGTAGTTACATTTTCATGTTGACGTAAATCGTAAAAATCGAGAATTGGTCAAAATTCGAAAAAAATCGAAATTTACATTTTTTGCCAAATTGCCCTGCCCTAGCTATCCATTGATTATATAAATAACAACATAATTGTTTTGTATTGTTAGAGTAGAGTTAACAGTATTTTTGAAAATTGTAAGACTGAAATGTCTTATAAATAATAAAATAGTAAACTACACACATACATAAAAATTCATATAGAAATGATAAACTGCTTAGTTCAACCTCAAGCATTACTGTTATTTTGGTCTATACAAAGCATACTGGGACATTATTGCTTTCACAAATCACGAGGAAATCGAACCTCAAACGGACCCACAAATTAACTGTAGTTAGCTTTTGGGTCCTTTCAGGTCTGAGATGGTTGTTCACATTGTTCGTTTACATACATGAGCTGAACCACTCCAAGAACTTTTAGAGAGCTCAAACTAACAAGGTGTGAAAACACCCTAATATGCTGTGTAAGCTACACAGAAATAAGTTAGCATTAGCAAAGTTTTGACCATTGCAGCAGTTATTTTACATAATTTAATGATAAAAACACTAGTCATCATGATATTAATTACTAGGCATTTCCAGATATCAAATAGTTAATGTTAGTAATTGTTCTTTAAAGAAACCAGCTCAAATGATCGCATTTACATTAATTTTGATTAGAATGTTTATCAATCGATTAATCGATTAATCAAAACTCTTCGAGCATGCGCAGATTTTTGCAGGTACTGCACAATTCCAAATCAATCAATCTGGCAAGATAAAATTTAACTGTGTTATTTATAAGATGTTTTCTAAAGTGCCAGGGACAGCAAAGAGAAGGTTTATTATCTCAAAACTTTCCATTTTTGATCACTATAATCACTAAATGAATCAATGAATCTAAAATCACTAGCGTTTTGAAAACTGCTTGTAAATCTCTCATTATGCTATATTATCAGCACATATTGGATTCAATCTTTTTGTCAACCTGTTTACTGTTAATTAGAGCAGTTTTTATATATATATATATATATTTTTTTTTTGGCACTAATTAGTCATAAGCCTCACTGACCTGAGCATATGCATCTCTGTTTTTGAGTTAAAGGGGTCATATGATGCTGCTAAAAAGAACAGTATTTGGTGTATTTGGTGTAATGAAATGTGTTTATGTGGTTTAAGGTTCAAAAAACACATTATTTTCCACATACTGTACATTATTGTTTCTCCTCTATGCCCCGCCTTCTGAAATGCGTCGATTTTTACAAAGCTCATCGGTCTGAAAAAGAGAGGTGTGCTGTGATTGGCCAGCTATCCAGTGCGTTGTGATTGGCCGAATTCCTCTCACATCGTGACGTAGACATGTGGGGGCGTGTTAGAACGCGCCGTTTTAGGTAGGTGTGGCTGACTCTTAACTCTTATAAAGAATATCTCTTTGGATTTGAGACTTTAGTCTTTGCAACTTTACAGATCTTCTTTATGCACCAAGAGCTTGTAACACTCCAACGAGAAAGGAAAAATTGAAAACGCATCATATGACCCCTTTAAGAAAAAAATAATTCTTTGTATTGTAGATTCTTTTGGCAATATTCACTCAAATAACAGAGGTGCATGCATAAGCTCAGATCAATGAGGATTACAATCAATCAGTTCCAAAAAGTTATACAGCTGTGCTATTTGAAACAAAACAAGTTAAAAGATCCAATATTTGGTAGCAATATAACATAACAGGAAATTTATAAGCATTTTTTTGTAGGCCAGTTATTTTGGATGGGGAGCACCACAAGTATATAACAGGTGTTATATACAGGGTATAACAAGTGTTATACCCTGTGTGGGCACAGTCGGTAGGTTCTTACCAATGCAACACCATTCATTTATGCAGAAGCCAACATTAAAATAAGGATCAAATGACTTGAGTTCAGCTTTGAGAATGAAAACCAACCTGTTTGTTCCTCAGTATCTTCATGTTTGACTCTGAATGCTTCTTCAATCTTCACATCTTCACTCTCCTCTTTAATAAACGCCATCTTTATACTATTATGTCATGTGGATATCAGTTGCTTCACCAAGAGTTTTTCTGCACATTTGGACACAGACACAGACACTTAATATAGGCCTTTAATACACACACACATTATACCAACTAATATTATATTTGCAGAATTTGCAAACTACAATTAATAGATTCTACTTTCATCAAAACATGTTCTGTTGGTTTGTAAATGATCGTTCCATGTTTGTGTTCTCGTTGCATTTACACTGTTTCACAAGTAGGTGTCGTCGCAGTGCAATGATTGGAGCGCTTCCAAACAGTGAATCAGTCTGCGAAATAATTGATTCAGTTGACTCGAAGTTTTTCGAAAAACTCCGTTTCCCTCACCACTACTTGCCAGTTTAAGATTTATGAAGAAAACGAAGCGAGAAGCGCAGTTTCTGTTACTCAAATGTGGATGTACTTCACTCAAGACATAACGTTTGCTAATATTCGATAAAACATCACAACGCTATATTCAACAATAAATCATTAGTTGTAAAGTTCTTGTAGAGAGGCTATGCATTTGTCTGAACATTTTCTTCCATTTAAATGCTTAAAACACAAACCTTTCTTCAGCAGAATCAGACGCAGCAGTGCGGCGCAGCCTTATAACGTCACACTCCCAGACTAAAATAAAAGTCCTCAAACGCTAAGTGACGTCATCCGAACCTCAGTCATCGCTACATTTTTTAAAGATTTTGATCCGGAGGGGCTGAAAAAGATAAGAATTTACCTCACTTTTCCAGTTTTTCCTGAAGTAGAAGAGCTTAATTTTAAAACGATTAATGGCATCCATTGAGAGAATTCCTTAGCTCAAATTAAAAAAATAAAAAATACTATAGTATTTTATAGTAAATACTATACTGTTTTTGAACCATACTATAGTAAAGTACTTTAATTTGTTGTGGTAATTCTATAGTTGCTGTGGTAATATAACAACTATAGAAATATAAACAAATTACTTTCCCCAATACTGTAAGTTTTCTTCAACTATATTATACTACAGTTTACTAAAAAACTAAAGTACACTACATTATTTATTACAGTTTATCAGTTCACTATAGTTAATACTACAGTATGCTGTAGCATTCATTAACAAAGTGTTGTAAATACTATAATACATACAGTATAATACACTTTACTATAGTATGGTTCAAAAACACTATAGTATTTGCTATAAATTATTATAGCATTTTTTCATGTGGGTGGATTTGCTAAATTCTTTATTCATAAATGTAGCCTTCATTTGTAAAATGAGCTTAAAATTCTTGCTTCACCCCTCTGCACTCTCTTAAAGGGGTCATATGATGTTGCTAAAAAGAACATTATTTTGTTTATTTGGTGTAATGAAATGTGTTTATGCGGTTTAAGGTTCAAAAAACACATTATTTTCCACATAACATTTGGGCGGCGTTATGCAAATCTTCCCACACAGTGACGTAGACATGTGGGGGCGTGTTAGAACGAGCCGTTTTAGGTAGGTGTGGCTGACTCTTAACTTTTATAAAGAATATCTCTTTGGGTTTGAGACTTTAGTCTTTGCAACTTTACAGATCTTCTTTATGCACCAAGAGCTTGTAACACTCCAAAGAGAAAGGAAAAATTGAAATCGCATCATATGACCCCTTTAAGTAAAAAGGCTATTACGGTAGCCATTTTTTTACTAGTTGAGTGCCTGGTAGCTTTTATACCCCTTTGTATTGTTTGTTTATTTGTATCTTTTTTAACTATTTTTTTTTATTTACTACTTATTTTCCTTTTAATGGCGGTTGGCACATTATTTACACGAATTACTGGAGTGTGGAGCATACTGGATAGGAAGAGGGGAAAAACAGAGAGAGACAGAAAGAGATTTTGATGGGCTTAAATTCTATTTATCATAATACATTTTGGTCTGTTTTGGGGCATTATTGAATACAATTTTAAATGTCACATTTTCTATTTCTGAGGATTTATGTAACAAGCAGTCCACTGAAGGCGAGTTGTGATGAACCCAAGTGCAGTTTATTCAAAAGTAATCCCAAAATACAAACAAAAACTTGACTTGGCATGAACAGACTTGACTTGGCTTGAACAGACAGAAACATGAACTCACCAACAGCAGATTACAGGGACAATACTCGATGGGAGACGATGGCAACATGAGGACTATAAATACCAAACAAAGAGGGTCACATGACACAATCCAACCAATAAGGAACAAGACACATGACTAGGACAACCAATCCGAACATGACACATATACAAGGCAGAAATACATGAGGGCAAGGAAAGCATGAAACTAACAGCATGAATCAAATGACAAAATAAAAGACATGAAAACAAGAACATAAAACAAAACCCCAAAACAGACATGACAGATCCCCCCCTCTAAGGGCGGCTCTTGACGACCTTATGCAACACCCACCCCAACCCAAACAAAACTCAAAAAAGTCCAGGAGGGTGGTGGAGCGGAGGCAGAACAGGGGGAGGGATGGAGGGCCAGGCCCATGCAGGAGAACAGGTTCAGAATCATGGCCTGGACCATGAAGCAGTGGGCAAGACCATGGGCTATGGAGCAATAGTGGACATGGACCATGAGGCAATGGTAGAACTAGGCTGTGGAGCAGTGGCGGGCTTGGGGCATGGAGCAAAGGTGGGCCTGGGCCATGGAAAAGAGGCGGGCCTGGACCATGGAGCCTTGGAGGACCAGGACTGTGGAGCAGAGGCAGACAATGGAGCAGAGGGGGACCTGGGCCGTGAAGCAGTGGCAGACTGTGGAGAAGTGGAGCAGGAGACCACCAGGTCAGAGCTGGTGGAGCAGGAATCCAGGGCATAGCCGGCAAAGCTGAGGACCGCCAGGTCAGAACTGGTGGAGCAGGAAGCCAGGGCGGAGCCGGCGATGTTGAAGACCCCCACAGTAAAACAGACCGGACTGAAGATCCCCACGGTGGAGCAGATGACCATTTCAGTGGAGCCAATGGCGCAGGGAACCACCACGGCGGATATGGTGGGACTGGAACAGAGAGCATAAAGAGGTTAACAACGGCCTTTATGGCCGTAACAAGACAGGCAGAGAATTCATGAATAGCCTCCTTGGCCGTGACAGGACAGACTGTGAGTTCATGAACAGCCTCCTTGGCCGTGACAGGACAGGCAGAGAGTTCAGAAGTGGACGCCGCTGCCTCGGGAGGTTCTGTCATGACGAGGCTCTGGAATGGTGGCCATTTTGTACAAAGTCTCTGGGTTGGCAGCCATTATGGGATGAGACTCTTGAGTGGTAGCCATTTTATAAACAGTCCTTGGGTTGGCAGATCTGTGTTTTGTAAGTGTTGCGCTCTGGGCTCACCCTTTCTGAGGAAGGAGAGATGTTTATTCAACCCCCACTGTTCCAGTTCTGCGGTTGCCGAGGCGCCGCAAGAGCTGAACGCTTGGGGTGACGCAGATGAGCCCGAGTGTACGGAGAGTGAGCAAACAGAATTCCCTTTCTCTCTCTCACTCTTCTCTGAACCACAAGCGTTCATCAGGAGAGCACCTAGTGAGTCTGCTGGATTAGTCAAATCTGATCCCTGCTCTGGAAGCTCGCAAATCAGTTTTTTCAGCTGCGGATAAGGGGATGCGTACTCTACAGCGGCCTCGGACTCTCAGGAGCTCGTAGGTGACACGCTGTAGATATGAGCTAGGGGTTAAGGGGCAAGCTTACGGATATAAAATCCCCATTTGCACTTTCCCTCCCCTGGATCAAGTGTTTCCCATGTTTATTAAACAACGTGAGAGGCATTAATTTCAGACTTTTGTCGTGCACTATTGTTTTGGCGCTTCATGCTACCAAGCATTAGTCTGCCCGACTAATTACTAACGTTATTTCTTTAAGCTCCGCTGCTGCATTGAGCTGAAACAAATAAGGGTGCTTTCACACTAGCACTTTTGGTGCGCACCCGGGTTCGATTGACGTTAGAGTTCGGTACGTTTGGATCAGTGTTGCCAAGTCTGCGGTTTTCCCGCGGAATTGGGC